AATAATTTATAAAATATTTGATTATAAAGAAATAAATGTAAGGTTTTGTGTTATTTTTGAGATAAAATACTTATGAAATATAAATAATATTGAATTGAGGATAAAGTTTTCATTTGCTTTGCCTTTTTTCTAATGATTTTATTTGTTTTTTAATATTTGTTTAATTTTTCAATTATTGCAACGAATAATATTAATTATAATCTCTTTTTGACTGATTTTGACATTTTCTGTGTATTATTTTGTTGAATGTTTGTATGATTTTCTGAATAATAACTACAATTTTCACTCAAAACAATACTAAAATCCCTTTTAAAACAATTTATGTTTAAATTTTGAATGCAAAGCAAATGAAAACTTTATCCTCAATTCAATATTATTTATATTTCATAAGTATTTTATCTCAAAAATAACACAAAACCTTACATTTATTTCTTTATAATCAAATATTTTATAAATTATTTATTCATCTCTCGTTTCCTTTATGTAAAAATATATTTTTATTTTTCTCTCACTTTTTATTTTATTTCTGTCCACAAAAATCTGTCCAATATTTTACAAAATATATATAAATATATTTAAAATTTATGCCAAAATGTTTGCTATCAATAAAAACACAGCAAATAATTTGTTTTACTCTTTAAACGTTTTGATCAAATAATTGCATAATTATTACTAAAAATACACCTAAAAATTGTCAAAACATTTGTTTTTATATATAAATCTAATTATTATTACAATTATTACTATTATTATTATAATTATAAATTTAATTATAAATTAATTGATTATTTGGAATAAACTATTGATTAAAAAACACAACAAAATAAGTGTTTCAATAAATATTTAAATCAATCAATGCATGAATAAAATCAATTGAAAATTTCAAAAAACCTAAGACTTTGTGTTGAATTCTTTGTCTAAAATATTGAAAAAATATATAACTTTAACAAAACGTTTGGATTTTTATCCATCATATTATACACGAGTGCCCACAGTATCCAAGTGTGGCCTCGCATTTACAGCACACCCGACACCCGGCCATCACTACGGCCTCCATTCACACCGTCAGCCCCAACACAATCAACAACAGCACCGGTATGTCCGCTGGCTTTACAGCTCCCGGAGTCATATGGAAAGCATTCAATTAAGAAAATCTTATTGATTACCAAAAAAAGTACACAATTAATAATAACCAAATGATATTGATTTGTATTTTTATGAAACAAAATATGCACTAAAAAAATATATAAACGGAAGGACTCAGTTGGCAGGTGTGACCCAGTGTTCAGGTACATTTATCAAATTCAAAATTAACCATTATCAATCTAAAACACTACCTTTAACTTAACCCATACTTTACCATAGAGTAGTGTTTTCTAAATATAGTCTAAACTTTTAGTCTAAATTTATTTATTAAATAATCACTAATTAATTAATAAATTTTAATTCGCAAACAAATCTTTATAATAATTACTAACATATAGTGTACTGTATTGTTGTGTATCTCTCTATCGCCTGTATTGTGTGCTGTAGTGATCAGTGAACTACCGATTGTGTGAACAAAACAAATACTACTACTTTTTTACCATCATTTTACCATCACGTTAATAATAGCTCTCTCCGTACAATCCAACGCATCCAATTTGTCACTCTTATTAATATTTACTTTTTTAAATTATTTATAACATACAAAATATGATCATTTCTCTCACTATCTTTCTCTCTCACTCTCTCTCTCCGCTCGTTTTACTCTAGTTTTATCTCAAAATTTGTGTTTTCTATTGAGATATCTATGGAAACATAGTGTTATATCTAGTGTTATATCTAGTTATATTTAAAAGTGTCATGGTAAACTATAAATGCATAATAATGTATGTTTAACTATTTACTGGGTTATGTTTTTCTTAACTACTAGTACTTGTAATTACTGTAGAAATCATTTAACTTTTTACCACACGTTTAGAGCATATATTTTAGTCTATAGTCTAATGTTTTCACTAAACTATTAATTTATTATTTATAAATCATAGAATTTATTATAATATAGTATTAAACTGTAGTTTTTAGTATACTTTTAGTGTACTTATAGTGTAATATAGTGTACTTTACTTAATTTTAATCGTATGTTATATTGTATGTATAGAATTGTAGTTTATTTTAGATTTTAGATTTAATTTCTATAGTATTTACTTTTGATACACAATTTCACACACAAATACACTTTACAATTAGACAACAGTTCATACTATCGAAGTTCATTATAAAATCCTCCCAAATATACTTTATATTATACTATAAATTTTCATATAGTTAATTAATTAATTAATTTAATTATCATATACTATCATATAATGAGTGAAATATGATTTTGTATGTATATTTGTGATGGTAGTCGTGTGTTGTATTATGTGTTTAATTTTAACCCCCGTTATCATTAATATTGTAAATATACTGTACATCTTGTGTAATATGAACGACACAAATGGTTGGCTCACACATCCCATCAGACATATAGTGTACAACATATAAGCAAAAAAAGTATTATTATTTTTCGGTCAACAAAATACACACAAAAAATTATATTTCCTATGAAAGCAAAAGTACACGAAATCCTTTTAATGCCATTAATGCTTGTCTTTTGTAATATGATATACAAGTAGTTGAGACCATAAAAGCAAAATAAAGTATACATAAAACTATGTGTACATCTAATAGTGTGTGTGTTTGTATGTAGACTACCATTAGTTAGTGTACTGTTTAATTGCTATTTAATATTAGAGTTACATATATTTTAGCTGCTGTTATGTCATGTCATTAGTGTTGTGTTTAAAAAAGTTTGAAACTCTTTTATCTCTTATATATTACATTATTATCTATAATACTATATTTTAAATGTATATTCTGTATATATTCTATACATATTCTGTGTATATAACTATAGTTATGGCAAAATAATTAATTGTGTTTCACATTATTAATTAAATAGTTTTTCAAAAATACATTAAACTTATAAATATTTTGTTGATTTTTGCCTCTCATGTGTTGTGTTTGGATATTAGTATATATCGTATAAATACAGTGTTGTGTTTATTACACATTAGATTTTGTATCATGTTTGTATTTGTGATGTTTGTCCCGTCTCTTATATTGATATACTGTGTGTTAGTTTAAACTAATCCATAGAGTTTATTAACACATTAACCAACATCATTTTACTAACCACATCCCAACCCACACACACACATACACTAAACAAATCACAAAACATATGCTAAAATCTCATAGAGATTTATACAACAGAATTAATACATAGTATTTCTAATTTCCATTCATTGCTTTTAATCACATAAAAAAAATATTCTGTTATTTATTTTTGTTATAAACGAGATATGTTAGCTAATTGTCGGCCATTTCTGATAGAATAGCCATAGAATACACTGAATTTCCCGTCTATTCTGTGCTCACTATCTATCATGTATTGTATGCCTGCTATTAGTCTGAAATCAGTATATATTTAGTCCATTTTATTTCATTTGTGTGTGTGTTTTGTCTCTTCAAATCTCTATTCACTCTCTGTCTCTCATCTCATAGACTGCATTGATTTTTGCCTCTCATGTGTTGTGTTTGGATATTAGTATATATCGTATAAATACAGTGTTGTGTTTATTACACATTAGATTTTGTATCATGTTTGTATTTGTGATGTTTGTCCCGTCTCTTATATACTGTGTGTTAGTTTAAACTAATTCATAGAGTTTATTAACACATTAACCAACATCATTTTACTAACCACATTCCAACCCACACACACACAACACATACACTAAACAAATCACAAAACATATGCTAAAATCTCATAGAGATTTATACAACAGAATTAATACATAGTATTTCTAATTTCCATTCATTGCTTTTAATCACATAAAAAATATTCTGTTATTTATTTTTGTTATACACGAGAAAAGTTAGCTAATTGTCGGCCATTTCTGATAGAATAGCCATAGAATACACTGAATTTCCCGTCTATTTTGTGCTCACTATCTTATCATGTATTGTATGCCTGCTATTAGTCTGAAATCAGTATATATTTAGTCCATTTTATTTCATTTGTGTGTGTGTTTTGTCTCTTCAAATCTCTATTCACTCTCTGTCTCTCATCTCATAGACTGCTGTGTGTTTTGATTGCAATTATCCGTCGGTTAATGTAATCCGTCTTTTGTGTTGCCTTTTAATACTTATGTGACGTCTAGTCCTTCACTACTAATACTCTTTTGTGCCCAAAATTAGTGGTCTTTTCTCTTATAGAGTCTGTCTTTTTATTATTATTTTCATCCGTTTTGCGGACTTAAGACTATAGANTTTGATTGCAATTATCCGTCGGTTAATGTAATCCGTCTTTTGTGTTGCCTTTTAATACTTATGTGACGTCTAGTCCTTCACTACTAATACTCTTTTGTGCCCAAAATTAGTGGTCTTTTCTCTTATATAGTCTGTCTTTTTATTATGATTTTCACTCGTTTTGCGGACTTAAGACTATAGAGAGTGTTATGTCTATTAAACAGACACTCGTTTTCCTTAAGATATTAGTAAATTAGTCATCTTTTTTTGTCACTAAATTATTTACATCTATTAAAACGTTTTGATACTAGAAGTAGAGTAACTAATACTAGAGTTTGTTGCCTGTGCTGCTGGTTATTCACAAATCATCACATTTTACACTAAATTACATACTCTATATATCTATTAAAACAAATTAAAACCACAATATATTAGCTCTAGTTATTTATACGTCTAATTAATTGTTAGCTAGATATGAACGTAATGTCTTGAAAAACATTTAGTTAAAAAGTAGACAGAAATTAGTATCGAAATTATGATTAAACTTAAATATTTATATAATTAGATATTAGATATTAAAAAATAACTTTAAAAATTGGTTTCCTATTTATTTATGTGCTTTATTTCTCTCTCCATAAAACTCTCTCTCAATTCTCACCCAAAATCTAACTAAAACTCGACCAAAAACACACACAAATACCTGGGGTTTCACATGTATTACATACAGACGGGGATACTCTCCTCCGTTTGTTACTCAAGTATTCCTCCGCTTCTTTGCCAAACCAGTCTTCACAGGCATCTCATGATATCTGTGGTAAGTCTACAACTAAATCAATATCTAAATCAAAAACACACACATTATAGCCCTTAACTAATCACTAAATTTATACTTAAATCTAAATTATAATCATAGATCTCTAGACCCGTAGACACCCTTTTCATACTGTACTACATATCGCTATCACAAACCCTATGTCTCTCTCTCTCTCTCTCTTTCTTTGTAATCGTTGTGTTTTTCTAAATCTCTTCAAACGTTGTTTTTGTGCTAAATTAATATGATTTTGTGTACAAAATATAAAGTGTTTGAATAGTTTGTTGTTATAAAATACGACTGTTTTTCCAGTAGATATTCGGGTTGCCGTAGAGAAGTATTGCATCCGTATTGCTCTCTCACACACTCCCACTGATTGTCTCTTTCCGGGGGACATAAGAACACAATAAATATATTAATTAATATACAAATTGAATGGTTTTGTTCTACAATTTCATTAGGAATACATATATTCTGTGTAATGTTACATAATATACCGGTATTGATCATGATTAGTTTGTTTTTTATACACAATACTATAATTCTCTGTGTGTTGTCTCTATCTATCTGTTGTTTTCTTTGAACACTTAAATTACCATCATTTTCATAAACATACACCAAAAATATCTAGTATTAGTTTACTTGTAATCTCTGATATCTTGTAGTTTGTAATTCATTTTGATCTTTAATTAACTGTTTGTTAATGTTATGGCTATTGTTACTCATAATCTGTTGTTCTTGTATTTTTATAACTAATATTTATTATCTATAAATATAAATATTAATAACAATAACACAAAACTAACTAACATTTCATTTTGATTAACACAACAACTTTACACTCACTCCCGCACAGCCCTCACACACAACCCCTCTCTAAAAACCCCCACCAAAACAGACCTCCCGTTTGCATCCATATATTGTTAATAACAATAATAATATACGGCTTAAAATTACAATTGTTTGTACCATTGTATTTGAAATCTAGTTGAATTGAATGGCCAGCAAACATCACCACCACTACTAACCCAAGCCCTATCAGGTGAGTTGATCCTCACAAACCACTGCTCTCTCGCATCCCATAAACACTAATATTAATGATAACATATCACAGCTTTTTACTCATTTTCCTCTCGCTTTCACTGTTATTACCACTTATTGTTCACTCATTTGATAAATGAATGAAAGCCTCTTTTTTACTCTCTTTTCTCTCCCTTTGTTTTGTGTGGCTTTTAATTAATTACATCATTCATACAATTACTTTAATAAATGTCATTTGAAATTAATTTTGTAGTCATTTATCTAATATTTTTCTGGTCTTATCTCTTCTCACTCACTCATCCACCCCTTCCCTCTCACCACAAATACATCTATATGTATATCAATGGCACTCAATGGTGGCAAACAAACAGCGGTTATCAACAATTACGGGGCCGGTAGCGGCTTTGGCAACGCTAACTCTGCGCCCAACGGCGCGCCCAATGGTCACCATCGGTCACATTTCGCGACGCCTAACAGTCCCGGCCCTACAATAGAACTCTACAATTCCAGTCAGGATAGTGTTCCCAGTTATGTACAGACCACTAGCCCTCAGCCCAACTCAGCCTTTCCACCCATTGCTGTCAGCAGGGTAAGTCATACAGTACCTACTTTAGTTACTTTACATTCAACAAATATACACAATCAACATTCATCATTAGTTACATTATCATTGTAGTAATTAAACTAGATGCTGTAAATTTCTTTAATATACTTCTATAGATATATCGTTCACAGTTTTTTCCTATCGTGTATTCAATAAATACTTGTGTTAAGAATATCGTGTTATTTATGCCAATTCTCGTATATTCAGGCATAGAATTTACAACCAATTTAAGAATAAATTTATTTTGTTTGTATAAATATTTTATACACTAATTAGCGATGTTTTTATTTAATTAATATTTTTCTGTTTCCCGTATTTTTCCCTCATTTAATTAATCCATAATACATGAAAGTACTTGTGTTTTGAGTGATAAAATCAATTACAGACAGACAGACAGAGAGAGAGAGAGAGAGAATTTGATTGCAATTATCCGTCGGTTAATGTAATCCGTCTTTTGTGTTGCCTTTTAATACTTATGTGACGTCTAGTCCTTCACTACTAATACTCTTTTGTGCCCAAAATTAGTGGTCTTTTCTCTTATAGAGTCTGTCTTTTTATTATTATTTTCATCCGTTTTGCGGACTTAAGACTATAGAGAGTGTTATGTCTTTGAAACAGACACTCGTTTTCCTTAAGATATTAGTAAATTAGTCCTCTTTTTGTCACTAAATTATTTACATCTAATAAAACGTTTTGATACTAGAAGTAGAGTAACTAATACTAGAGTTTGTTGCCTGTGCTGCTGGTTATTCACAAATCATCACATTTTACATCAAATTACATACTCTATATATCTATTAAAACAAATTAAAACCACACTATAGTAGCTCTAGTTATTTAATCATTTAATTAACTGTTCACTTGATATGAACGTAATGTCTTGAAAAACATTTAGTTAAAACGTAGACAGAAATTAGTATCGAAATTATTATTAAACTTAAATATTTATATAATTAGATATTAGATATAAAAAATAACTTTAAAAATTGGTTTCCTATTTATTTATGTGCTTTATTTCTCTCTCCATAAAACTCTCTCTCAATTCTCACCCAAAATCTAACTAAAACTCGACCAAAAACACACACAAATACCTGGGGTTTCACATGTATTACATACAGACGGGGATACTCTCCTCCGTTTGTTACTCAAGTATTCCTCCGCTTCTTTGCCAAACCAGTCTTCACAGGCATCTCATGATATCTGTGGTAAGTCTACAACTAAATCAATATCTAAATCAAAAACACACACACATTATAGCCCTTANGGATACTCTCCTCCGTTTGTTACTCAAGTATTCCTCCGCTTCTTTGCCAAACCAGTCTTCACAGGCATCTCATGATATCTGTGGTAAGTCTACAACTAAATCAATATCTAAATCAAAAACACACACACATTATAGCCCTTAACTAATCACTAAATTTATATTTAAATCTAAATTATAATCATAGATCTCTAGACCCGTAGACACCCTTTTCATACTGTACTACATATCGCTATCACAAACCCTATGTCTTTCTCTCTGTCTCTCTTTCTTTGTAATCGTTGTGTTTTTCTAAATCTCTTCAAATGTTGTTTTTTTGCTAAAATAATATGATTTTGTGTACAAAATATAAAGTGTTTGAATAGTTTGTTGTTATAAAATACGACTGTTTTTCCGGTAGATATGAGGGTTGCCGTAGAGAAGTATTGCATCCGTATTGCTCTCTCACACACTCCCACTGATTGTCTCTTTCCGGGGGACATAAGAACACAATAAATATATATTAATTAATATACAAATTGAATGGTTTTGTTCTACAATTTCATTAGGAATACATATATTCTGTGTAATGATATATACCGGTATTGATCATGATTAGTTTGTTTTTTATACACAATACTATAATTCTCTGTGTGTTGTCTCTATCTATCTGTTGTTTTTTCTTTGAACACTTAAATTACCATCATTTTCATAAACATACACCAAAAAATATCTAGTATTAGTTTACTTGTAATCTCTGATATCTTGTAGTTTGTAATTCATTTTGATCTTTAATTAACTGTTTGTTAATGTTATGGCTATTGTTAATCATAATCTGTTGTTCTTGTATTTTTATAACTAATATTTATTATCTATAAATATAAATATTACTAACAATAACACAAAACTAACTAACATTTCATTTTGATTAACACAACAACTTTACACTCACTCCCGCACAGCCCTCACACACAACCCCTCTCTAAAACCCCCACCAAAACAGACCTCCCGTTTGCATCCATATATTGTTAATAACAATAATAATATACGGCTTAAAATGACAATTGTTTGTACCATTGTATTTCAAATCTAGTTGAATTGAATGGCCAGCAAACATCACCACCACTACTAACCCAAGCCCTATCAGGTGAGTTGATCCTCACAAACCACTGCTCTCTCTCTCATCCCATAAACACTAATATTAATGATAACATATCACAGCTTTTTACTCATTTTCCTCTCGCTTTCACTGTTATTACCACTTATTGTTCACTCATTTGATAAATGAATGAAAGCCTCTTTTTTCACTCTCTTTCTCTCCTTTTGTTTTGTGTGGCTTTTAATTAATTACATCATTCATACAATTACTTTAATAAATGTCATTTGAAATTAATTTTGTAGTCATTTATCTAATATTTTTCTGGTCTTATCTCTTCTCACTCATCCACCCCTTCCCTCTCACCACAAATACATCTATATGTATAACTATGGCACTAAATGGTGGCAAACAAACAGCGGTTATCAACAATTACGGGGCCGGCAGTGGCTTTGGTAACGCTAACTCTGCGCCCAACGGCGCGTCCAATGGTCACCATCGGTCACATTTCGCGACGCCTAACAGTCCCGGCCCTACAATAGAACTCTACAATTCCAGTCAGGATAGTGTTCCCAGTTATGTACAGACCACTAGCCCTCAGCCCAACTCAGCCTTTCCACCCATTGCTGTCAGCAGGGTAAGTCATGCTACTTTAGTAACTTTACATTCAACAAATATACACAATCAACATTCATCATTAGTTACATTATCATTGTACTAATTAAACTAGATGCTGTAAATTTCTTTAATATACTTCTATAGATATATCGTTCACAGTTTTTACTTATCGTGTATTCAATAAATACTTGTGTTAAGAATATAATGTTATTTATGCCAATTCTCGTATATTCAGGCATAGAATTTACAACCAATTTAAGAATAAATTTATTTTGTTTGTATAAATATTTTATACACTAATTAGCGATGTTTTTATTTAATTAATATTTTTTGCTATTTTTCTGTTTCCCGTATTTATCTCTCATTTAATTAATGCATAATATATGAAAGTACTTGTGTTTTGAGTGATAAAATCAATTACAGAGAGAGAGAGAGAGAGAGAGAGAGAGAGAGAGAGTTGACATTCCTTTACTAGTTTAATATGCATTCATATGTCCGTATGTTTTAAATTATTAATAAAATGTATGCCTTTTTCTCTCTGATGTTTGCTATTAAACTAACTCACAAGCGTTTAATTCTCTCTCTCTCTCTCTCTCTCTCTCTCTCCGATAAATACATTACGATATAATTGTGTAAATAAAATATAATGAAAATTTGAAATTAAATTTATATATTATTTATTTTGGCAAACTTTTTATTTTGTTGAGTGAATCTCTATTGACTTCTCTCTCTATATATTAATAAATAAGAATATAATAAATAAAAGAAAAAATATATAACAATATTAATGCAATAAAACAGATTGAAATAAATAAATCAAATCTTATTATGAATGCCATATATTATTGTTATAATGTATTAAATAAATGGAAAAATTAAAATAGCATTCACTTTAAATGTCAGACATTGAATGAACAAAAATAAAGGCAAACAATACTATATTCTCTATTGAATCAAAAATTATATACAATTGCCTTTTGACATTTGCCCTTGGTGTTTGTCTGAAACACACACAAATATTGGATGTATAATTACTAATATTAACCATCATATAAAAGCTTTTTAAATATAGAATTAATAATGTACTTGATAATTTTTGATGACATTTTTATGCATAACTAATACTTACAGCATATAAACCGATACTTACTTTTTATATACATTTCAATCGACACGATGTAAAAAATATTCGCCAGATTTTTGGCCACATTTTAACGAAAAAATCAATTATAAGAGTAAATGGTTTTTAAAGTAATAGATATTTTATATAGTTTTTACTCTTTATTTTTTGTTGAGAGAGAGAGAGAGAGAGAGAGAGAGAGAATATTGTATAAATGTTAAGTTAAAATAAAATACAAAATATATATTAAATTCAATTTTCATACAATCGAAAGAAGAATTTTTTGTTCATTTCTTATTTGATTATAGAATAGGAGAGCAAACAGTCGTCTTGTATTCATTTCTCTCTCTCTCTCTCTCTCTCTCTCTCTCCTCCCTCTCGCCCTCACTTTCAAGTGATCTGTCTATAGGTTTTCCTCTCCATGTGTTTCTTTCTATCACTCGTTTATGTTTAATATATTCAACATTTCCGACACTACTTGTCATTAAACATCAAAACATTTCAACGATAATCACAAAATCCGTGTCCAAACTCAGTATGAAATGCAATTAAATATAATTAAAGCCCAGTTTCTAATAGTAAATACTGACAAAATATATTTAGTGAACGGATTCTGTTCTCTGATTACATTAGATTCAAGATTTAGATTCAGATAATTATAATTAAATACAATGTTTATTCAATGTCCAGCATTTGGATAGTATTACACTTCACTCACTCTCTTATAACAGCCCACATATACATTGGGTTTAAATCTTTTAAATAATGCAAAATATGTTTTGCAATATATTTGCTAATAAGTATTCATTTATGCATCAAATAATTGAAATTTCATTACGGATTTAAATAGTATTTCACGCAAAATATTTTAATGTATTGTAATTTTTTCGAAAGTAATTACTATTGTATGGGATTTAATGAGCTTAGAAATAATGATTGTTATTAGAAATGAGTTTTTATTTATAATTATAACATTTGTTATTAAAACATATGATATAAAAATGAAAATTCATTATATGATACACTAAAAGCGTTTTGTAATCAAATAATATTTCTCTCTCATGTGTCTAAACATGCAAATCATATGCAGAGAAAATATTTTGCATAAACTTTTCTTTATTCTCTCTCTCTCTCTCTCTCTCTCTCTCGACGATGTAATTGATTGCAGACATGGATATAATGGAAAGATTTTATACAATAAAAAGCAAATTCTGTGTATTTTAA